TGACTGAAGTAAACAATCATCATAAGGAAGTTAAAGAAAAAGATTTCTATTTTGAATGTAAAAATAGGTATACATTTGAAGACAATCAGGTTCTTGACATAGAGAATCTTCCAATCACAATAGAAGACGGAGATATTGAAATTCCTATTTTAGAATCATTCCCCATTGAAACATCAGAAAATGTGGAAATATTTAGTATTATAAAAAATAATGAACATGGTATTGAAAACAGTTTCAGAGAGATTACCACACTCGATGTAAGTTACTAGAATTTAGGGTAACAACATAATTTTTAATAGCTACACTTTAACAGAAATGATTCAGCACTCTATATAAGTAAAGTCTGACGTCAGTTTATAAAACATCACTCTTATTAACCATGTTCAGTGGTTGTGAATTTTAAATTTAAAATCCAAAGTCCTATCTTTTACAGGCCACGTGGACTGGTTTGTATTAGACAGAGCAAATAAGTAATGGGTATTAAATTTCACTTTACTAAACGGAGACATTATTTTTCAGGATATATCTGTGGAATTTCAACAATATATTCCAACTGAAAATGAAAAATGCCAAACTACTGAATCTATGAGCAAAGGAAATGAGACAGAAAAGAATAAAAATAGCGCCGAGTTAAAAGAAATTGTTGAAGATAGCACTATTTTTCAGGTAAGTTAAATTTTTGTATGTTTATTTTTTATACCTTCAAATTTTGCATTAATGCTTGTTTGGCCTAGGTACTGACCTAATCTTAATTATTTTTTACAGGAAATTTGTGGAAGTGATGCGGATTATACATATTCTGATCCTGATTGGTTACCTGATTCGAAAATTAGTGCAAAGCGACCAAAACTTATGAAAATTGATATCATCTCAAAAAGTTGTTCCGCCAAAGGACAAAAAGATAGTACGGGTATGGTACAATTATATTGTCTGTCGTTAGTCACTTGATTGTATTGTTGGTATTTACCTAGAGAAGGTGTAATAATTAGATACAATAAAATAGTAACTATAAATTCTATGTAGGTTTTCTGCTGTTATGATTGTGTTCACCAACATGATTTATTATTGTTACAGATGATGTTGCATCTACGCTTGGAAACGTAAGAACTTATTCCGAGACTCATTTCATAGATGACAACGAAAACGCTGAAAATCCCATAGAAGCAGTAGAACCCAGTAAATATACAAAAAGAATAAAGGGTATAAGGAAAAGAGAAAACGAAAAGTTAAAAAAAAATCACGGATTGGACTATAAAAATAGGAAAGGCAAATTGTTTTCATCTAGAACTTTCAAACCAGTTGAAAAATGCTGCATTAAGAGAAAGTGTAATGAGAAGATTACATCAGAAAACCAAAGAAAAATATTTAATGATTTTTACACACTTCCAGTTTGTGCAAGAGACCAAGCATTAGCTGACAGAATTAGAATTTCTACGCCAGCAGTAAGTCGGAAAAAGGAAGATACATGTGAAACCAGAGTTACTCATGATCGACTAGTGACTGTGTCATACTATGTTACTTTAGATGGAACTACAACAGAAATATGTAAAACTATGTTCATTGGTGTTTTTGGTTTAAGTAGAGGCAAGGTGGATGTCATTATTCAAAAAGTGAAAGCTTCTTCATCTAGAATTATCCAAGGAGATATGCGAGGTAAGCACCCACAACAGTTTAAAACTACTAGCGAGAAAATTGAAGATATTAATGCATTCATAGACAGATATCCTAGGCATGAGAGCCACTATGCTAGGAGAGATAGCTCCTCTAAAAAAGTATTTCTACCAAGTAATTTAAATGTTAAGATTATGTATAAGGAATATTGTGAGCACAGAAATGAAAATGGTTACACTAAGTCCGCATGCTATGATGTTTTTAGAAAACAGTTTAATGCCAAAGGATATAAATTTAAAGAACCATTTATTGACACATGCAACAAATGTGATGAGTTTATTTTAAAGAAAAGACATTCAACCAATAAATCTGATCGCCAAATTGTTTCTGATATGCACGACTCTCACATCAAAGAGGCCCAAGAGGGTTATGATATGAAAAATCATGATAAAAATCTAGCGAAGTACTATGACAATAGAGTTCTATTAGTGTTTGATCTCCAACAGGTTCTTCCTGTACCTTACTTATCATCAAATATTGCATATTATAAGAGGTTTCTATCCATGTACAACCTCACTATAAGAAACTGTTCAAATGACCAGGATTCTTCTTATTGCTGTATGTGGAGTGAGATAGATGCAGGCAGAGGCTCTGATGAAATTGCCTCGTGTGTTTTCAAAAAAATTATGGATCTTCCAAACAATATCGAGTATGTCACCACATACTCAGACACCTGTGGAGGACAAAACCGAAACATTAACATTGCCGCCATGTTTTGTTATGTTCTGACCAAGAAGAAAACCATTCAGGTAATTGATCAAAAATTTTTGCTACCTGGTCATACACGTCTCGAATGCGACAGCGATCATGCTCGTATTGAAAGAGCGAAAAAAATACTTCACTCTTCAGTTAACAAAAACAGTATCAGTGATACGTACAGAATCATGGTGCCACGTGATTGGTGTCAGTTCGTCCGCACACTTTCTGGGAGAAAGAAATTTAAAGTTATTGAAATGCAACAACTTGACTTTAAGGAATTTTCTAGTCTGTTGAAAAATGTGTTAATCCATCGGAAAACTGACAGTGAAAAACAAAAAGTCGAATGGTTGAAAATCAGGTGGCTACGATACACTCAAGATTTTGGACGAATTTATTTCAAGTACGATCTTAACCCATTTTCTCCATTTAAAAGCTTTAGTATATTGAGGGGTAAGAAGGGTCGACCAGAAAACTTGGAAGTTGCAAGATCATATGCTGGACCTTTGCCAATAAACCCGAAGAAAAAGAAGGATCTTCTCTCAATGTTTAGCCTCATTGATCCCCAGTTCCATTCGTTCTACAAGAAGCTGACCACTGATACAAACAGTCGTGAGTTTGATGAATTGGATGAGTTGGATGAAGAAGATAAAGTTTAGTTTCTACTTTCTTGTTTTACTCAACAATTTTTATTTTTCTTTGAATGTAATGTTTTAAAAATAATGTAACTCTGTCAACTAGCAAGGACAATTTTGAAAAACAACGTATAAATACTGATTTAATAGTTATATTAATAAAAACTGCTATAAGTCTGAATTGTTGTTATTATCAAGATGTCTTTCAAATTATTTCACATATTTTTTACATAGAAATCGAAAATAAATTTAAAACTACACAAACACTTGTAATAAACCCTTTAATATAACTAATTCTTGCTTGAAAATTACTGGTAATTTATCCATAAAAAAAAGCATTACCAAAAAAGAGTTATGAGGAATAATTTCCCTATATAGTTATGTGGTGATTTGAGTCATATGGCAGACGACAAAACATGATATCTTTTACATCACTTACAAAAAAAAATAATTAGTAAATTTAAATAACATTGTTATTGCTTGATATTTTGTATTCAGTTAGTAAAAGAACAGCTGCATAGTTAAATATAAAATTTGCTATGAATAACTTAATAACTGATTTTTAGAACCCTGCTAAACTTTAAAATTGCTCTCCTGAAAAGTTGATGAAACATGACTTATCAGCTTATGTCATCTACTCACAGAATTGATGATCATAAAATATAAAATGGCTTTGTGGCGTCATGAATTCGGCTGAGCTCATGGAAAAATACAATAATTCAAACCGGCAAGTTTTAGTTGAAAGAAATATATTAAAAACATTTAATACCAATAAATAACTTAAAACACAATGAAATATACTTATATTTCAATAAACGAACGAAATAATTCCATGTGCCCGGCCCGCCCTTGATGGTTCGGATAGTTGGTAACTATTGAAAATATTAATAATATTATCCCAATATAACACGAACACATTTTTGTTCTTATAAATGAACTTTTACTTAAAACTGTGAAGCCGAATAATGAATAAACTGATAAAATCAAAAAACTTTGCAGAAACTAATATGGCTACCAAAGGACGCCGATGATGTGGCCGAACGATATCAGCCAAAACTCAAAATATTCTTAAGATTAGGATAAAATTATTATGTCAAAATAAGTTACAAACAATATACAATATTTTAAAGCAACTTTGAATAAAAAATGCTTACCCTTTTCCTGGAATTTGCCAACTTCAACTTCTGTGCCTTGGATGCGTCCGCCATGATGTTGTGTTGCGACGAGAAGAGAACGAATGAACGAGTGCAAATGGAACGACCGCCTGGTTTGCAAGCGACGCTAACCGACAATTTTTAGAATGTGACATTTGTCAAATAAGGGCGCCTTAATTTGAATTCATCGATGAAAAAGTAGTGCTGAGATTACAATGAATTTTTTTTAAACCTATTATACATGTTCGAAATTATTATCAACAACAACAATTATTATTCAAACGACGATTTAGTGAATAAATTTAAAATAACTTTGTTAGGATCGCAGAAAAAAAAACGAAGATGCTTGTCAGAATTTCCGAGCAATTTAACAAATAAAAAGTTAGTATTGCTGTCACATGATTACTGTACGATTACTTGATTAGTCAAACTGAAGACCTGCCTATGCGGCAATTTACGAAATCTGCATAAACGGATTTAAAAAAATAAAATCTCTGGAGCAAATTTCAGTTAATAACTTTGTTTAATATATAAATATTTCAATCATTGGTTAGAAGCACCCATGTTTTCTTATTTGCTGACGATAAATGTAATTAAGACTTATTTATCAAAACACTGATACATATACCTATACCTTAGTCAAGGATATTGTTATCAAACTTAAATTTTCATTATCGTTCTATTTTTGGAACAGTAGATAGTTTAAATGTAAAACATAAAGGTAATGTTTAAGATCGAAATAAATGGTCTACTATTGTCTACAATAAAAAAATATAATAATTGACATTCTGATAGCTGACAGTGACATTTACCAGTTGTTTTTGAGTGGTTGAAGAATGGTTGTACCAAATTGAAATATTAATTTACAGTTGATAATAAATCTTGGAGTATGGTGTGATATATTAAACATAATGAAAAGTTTAATATAAAAAAATGTTTATTTCTTTGTGTATGTAATTGAACTATCTATTTAATATTTAATTAAAATTATCAGTTAATATGTCAGGAGTATTTGGATACAGTCGAGAAGCTGTAAGGGTGAAAGTTAAGGTAGGATTGTTTTATTATTGGTACATGCATAATGCTATTTATTTAATATATTATAATTGTCCGTAATAATTACAGTATGATCACTATACAGTTGTATTTATTTTTGTTTAGAAATGTGAAAGAAATCAGCCACCAGAAATGAGAAAGTTCAGTGTAGATCCCCAAATAACTTCTTTTGAAGTACTGCAAAGCATTTTGGCGAAAGCCTTTGATCTCAAAGGGGACTTCACTGTTTGTTTCAGAATATATGATGTAAATGGATATGAAACATACATGCCTATACTTTCTGATTGGGATTTGGATGCTGCCTTTTTAAAGTAAGTTTTTGTTTCACTTAAAAATTGCTTAAAATATTGGTTTGACACTTATCCTTCTAGTATATTATGGTTGCTCCAGTATAAGGTAGGTATTTTACAGAAATATAAATATTCTAGGAACATTCTCAAAATTTTATTTCATAATGGAAATTCCAAATGTGTAATGCCATGGTCTCAAGTTTACTTAGGATTGAATGAATAATATTATTTACTGTATTTATTATTTTTTATTCAGCCTTGTGTAATATTTACAAAAAATAGCAAAGAAAAATCACATATGTTACATAAATATGTTGTTTATATACTAGTGAATGCTATAACATTTGGTAAATAGTGGCATACAAGACTTTTCAATAAAAAAATCAAGGTGTTTGGTGTTACTTCAAAATGCTTATATAGTATATTAAAATGATATTTACAAATATAACAGCATAACTTGTGTTTAAAATTTTCTTTTTTTAAAACATTTAAATTTAAAGAAAATTAAAGAATTAATGGATTCGACCGTTACTTGATGGAAATTTATTTTATGTAACAATAAAACACTGAAAACTTTGTTTTCAAACTTCCACAAAATTTATTTTAAATCTTATCACTACAGCTGTTTCGGCTGATTGCCTTTCTCAAGTGATCTATTTTTGGCTTGGGTTTACAAATTTATAGTCTCTAATGAAATGGGTTGAGGAGGGGAGAACTGTTTGTCTCAAGTTGGTCATTCAGAATTATATCTGTGTTTTTTAATTTGTTGATTTCCATAGATTCTAACAAAGATATCCTTTATTTTGAATGTGAAGAATTTTAAATTTGTCATTAAAAGAATGATTATGATCTAGAAGGTGAAGTGCATATGTCGAATCTGTTTTTCTATTCTTCAAAGCCCTTTTATGTTGTGCTATTCGTTTATCAAAGTTTCTACCAGTTTGACCAATGTAAGTTTTTGGGCAGTCGCCACATTGGAGTTTGTACACCCCACTATTTAAGCATTTTTTATTTTAGCTCTTGTTATTTTTAATATATTTGCCTAGGTTGTTATTTGTTCGGAAAGCTGGTGTTATTCCTTTCTTTTTTATGTGTTTGGCAATTTTTGTTGTTATTTTGCCTCTATATGTAATCGAGCAGAAGGTACTGGGTTTTTTCTCTGGTGGTGGAAATACTAATTTCAGGGCTTTCTTGTGTAGTTTTTGATTTAACATTTTATTAATTGTTTGTTTGTTGTATCCGTTGTTTACTGCTATTTGCTTAATTATATTTAATTCTGTCTCAAAGTTGTATTTTGACATCGGAATTTCTGTTAATCTATGTAACATACTATGATAAGCTGCCAGTTTATGTTGTGTTGGATGCGATGATGAATTGTGTATAGTCGTGTCAGTAGGGGTAGGTTTATGAAATATGGAGAAGTCATGTTTGTTTTGAAGTCTGCTAATTTTTAAATCTAAAATCCACCATATCAGTGATAAAAAGTGAGTGATAAAAAAAATCACTCCATAAATTTTTTAGATTTAAAACTTAGCAGACTTCAAAACAAACATGACTTCTCCATATTTCATAAACCTACCCATACTGACACGACTATACACAATTCATCATCCCATCCAACACAACATAAACTGGCAGCTTATCATAGTATGTTACATAGATTAACAGAAATTCCGATGTCAAAATACAACTTTGAGACAGAATTAAATATAATTAAGCAAATAGCAGTAAACAACGGATACAACGAACAAACAATTAATAAAATTATAGTTTATTCGTCTTCCGGGTTTGGACCGTGTCATTTTTGAGTGACCCAAAAGTGGGTTCATCTCAGCCTTTATCATCTGACCCTTTTGGGTCACTCACAAATGACACAGTCCAAACCGGAAGACGAATAAACTATAATTCTGACTCTGGCCGTGGAAGCCTACGATTTCAATTAATAAAATGTTAAATCAAAAACTACACAAGAAAGCCCTGAAATTAGTATTTTCACCACCAGAGAAAAAACCCAGTACCTTTTGCTATATTACATATACAGGCAAAATAACAACAAAAATTGCCAAACACAAAAAAGAAAGGAATAACACCAGCTTTCCAAACAAATAACAACCTAGGCAAATATATTAAAAATAACAAGAGCCAAAATAAAAAACATTTAAATAGTGGTGTGTACAAACTTCAATGTGGTGACTGCCCAAAAACTTACATCAATCAAACTGGTAGAAATTTTGATAAACGAATAGCAGAACGTAAAAGGGCTTTCAAGAATAGAAAAACAGATTCGACATACGCACTTCACCTTCTAGATCATAATCGTTCTTTTAATGACAAATTTAAAATTCTTCACATTCAAAATAAAGGCCTTAAGTTATCTTTGTTAGAATCTATGGAAATCAACAAATTAAAAAACACAGATATAATTCTGAATGACCAACTTGAGACAAACAGTTCTCCCCTCCTCAACCTATTTCATTAGAGACTATAAATTTTTAAACCCAAGCCAAAAATAGATCACTTGAGAAAGACAATCAGCCGAAACAGCTGTAGTGATAAGATTTCAAATAAATTTTGTGGAAGTTTGAAAACAAAGTTTTCAGTGTTTTATTGTTACATAAAATAAAAGAAGCTAAACATGTTTAAGCCTTTTGTTTATTGTGATAATATATACTTAAAGGGGAGTTGAATCATATGTGCTTTATTTTAAGTATTTTCAAAAGTTCTGAACCATAAGAAAACCTTTCAAAATAAGCTAACAGATGAAATTAATTACTTTTGAATTTACCTAATTGGTGTCTCTGGTCAAAAAGTGACCTTTGAGAATGGAGATATTACAATAATGTCTAATACTATCTGGATCAAATCTTTCTAATAATGAAAATGTGAAAATTTGTAATTTCTAGTGAGTAGTTTCTTTAATAGAACCATACAAAAATATTGCACATCTTTAGATCTTAATGTCTAGTTGGAGATGGGATTTTGAATGAACTGCTTACGCCAGACCATCTATACTCAGTGGCGCTGGCTGACTGGTAGTTTAATGACAACAAATGCATTATTCTCCATTCAAATTAGTTTTAACATGAACTCACTAACCATACGTTCACGAGATTGACGTCACAAATCAAATGAATCAAAATCAATGATTACAGAAAAAAAAACTCTTTCAAGTGATAGGCGTAAAAAGTTTGGTTGTAATAGAACGTTAAACAGTATAATCCAATTTTTCAACAGAAGTTTCAAAAAAATGAAATAAGTAAAGCCATAATTTTAAAGGCAGCATAATTTCGAATAACATGTCCAAATTTCGAGACATTTTGTCAGTAAATAACAGAAAACACTGGTCCTAGGTTTTGGTGCACCGATAAAACAGCCTTAATAGTTATTTAATTTGTTGTTGTTAATTAATATTTTTGTAAAAAGAAAAACTCTTTTTCTTCAGATGTACCTAACACATATTTTTTTCTTTTGTATTGAATATCTTACATTTCTAATGATTGTTTATAAACAAATATTACTCATCTAACCGCTTTCATAATTTATGAGCTGTTATGCAGTTTAACAGATAATGAATTATATTAGACATCTGTGAGGTTTATTAATATTTGATGATAAACATTTTTAATAACCTTTAAAACTTTGTAAAATTGGTAACAAATATTCAACAAAAAGTGCTGAACATTCAATAACCTTATCATTTTTATATCTAGTGAGTATTTACTCACACATTTTTTTTTTCAGTCCTTTACACTATTATCTAATATATTGAACTGTTTTTATTAATCTAATTTATTAACTTTATTTATTATAAAAATGTTCTAACACTTAGTTTATTAATGTTTATTTAATTTATATAAAGTCTTACAATAATTTATTTACACTATTTACACGATTCTAATTTATCTTACTACATTTCCACGTTACAATTCAAACTCTGAACATTCCAATTGGTCTTGGTCTTGGTCTTGCAAAAACGCAAGAACAAGACCAAGACTGCAAGACCAAGACCGATTTTGGGCAACACTACTGCCTCATAATATAATTCTAGCGAGCTTAATTTGCGGACCCCTCTGGGGGCATTTAGCATCTTTTTATATATAATAATTTAAGTTTTTGTTAATTGTAAATTTAGTGTGCTTAAAATAATTTTCAGAAAAACCTAGTGTATTAAAAGGTTTTATTTCATAAAAAGTGAGGTAAAACGTATTTGTTTACATATTTTTTTATTCATTTTATTCTGTAAATACAAATGAAATGTATTGAGTTGATACATATGTTTTTGTGCTATAAATAGTTAATATCGTTTTACGATAAAGAAAGTAATTATTATTCAGGAAAAGTACTTAAACATCAGTAAGTAGGTAGGGTGAATTACATTAATAAAGCAACCTAGAAATTAATGATTTATTTTAAGTAATACACAAGGATGTAGAAAAATATGATAATTATAGTAAATATTAATTTAACTGCTATTGACTCATACTATTTGTGCTACTGTAGTGCATGTTAAAAAAAAGTTTATCTAACGGATGATTCATTCGATACAAAATACACTGCTACAAAAATGTGGCTGCTACGGCATGCCCAGAAGTACATAAAGGGTCTTTCATTCAAAATCTTACAATATGTGGATGATTTTTGTGTCTATATACGAAACTCCTCATTCCTTGAGACCTTCTCTCTGTTTTCGGTCTTTTATCTTTTCTTCTACTACCGTAAACCGGGGTTACTTTGCTTCGTTTTTAAAGGTCTCTGAAGAATTTTCAACAAAATGTTTGTAAAATTGAGAGATATCTTTATTTACTTGAATCCTACTTGTAAAGAATACTTTAAACAATTGTGGTTTAAATACTTTAAAGCTCAAAAATAATGATTGTTATTTTTTTCATTTGAAATGTGGAGCAAAGTTTCCCATAGCCAAAGGTGACTTTGCTCCACATCATAAAATAACGTCTAATCGCTAGTTTTTACATCACTGGTGCAATGTTAAGCACACATTTTGTTTAATGTTGTCCATCTCACAAAATAAATTAAAAAAACATGGAAAAAAATATTTTTTTAGAATTTATTGCAGAAATCTAAAACATGTTTTGGATTATATTAATAAATTACAAAAAAAATATGATAAGGTACCTCATAAAATGTAACTAGATGTACTTTTCAAAAACTTAAGAACTAGGAATGCAAAATATTCAACGAAAAACAGTTTTTTAAAACTTAAGGTTTTAGAAACAAATACCTAATATGCAATAATTTCCATCAATTTTACTAACAGTGGTGGGAAGTTCTGTTTCTAAATATTTGTATTTTTAATGCCTTCTTCGGTATTTTTCCATTCTGATAGCACTTTTTTCCAGGCTATTTTAACTGGGCGAAAGTTAGGATCAGGGCGGAGTTAAGTGTGTGCTCTTGGGGGGTAAACAAATTAGGCTTACTTGGTTTTCTCGACAAAATTTGAGCGAATGAATTGTCAAATGAGAAGAAAGGTTGTCGAATATTAGGATTTTCTTTCCTTCTAATTTTCTTAGCCTAGGTATCATTTGAAGCTCCAGCCAATCAGTAAATATATTGTTATCAAACCACCCAGAAGAACTAGCGTTATATCAACATCCGTTTGACCCATTTTCTGTCCACGTGGTCCACATCTTGCTGGCTCGATAAACAATATATGGAGGTAACAGTTCTCCAATTGCATTTCCTGCAAACATGACGGAAATTAATGTCTTCGTTGGATTTCGAATTAATTCAGGATACTGAATTCAATCTTTCTTCACGAGTACCCTCTTTTTTCCTTTATCATCCGTAAGGTTTGTTTCGTCAAAATTCCATATGTTCTTGAAGGCACCTCTAATATTTCGGTCGTTAAATTTTCAAATTAGCTCCTTATCATTGTCTCATTTACTGCTCCTCTTACGCTTGACATTCTCAGCGAAGCGTCAGGATATATCTGGATGTCTGTTAATACACGCTTTGGCCCATTCTAGACCAGGCAAATTATTCTGGAAAATCCTAACTTCCCTACCACATCTCTCCAAATAATCTTTAATAATGTGACGCAATTCTGTTGTATCTACAGGAAAGCCAAACTGTCCCAATGCAACAATACACGGAACAAAATCTTCTTCTTCTTGTAAAGAAAATATTGGCTGTTTTCCAGGTTTTCTTAGGTATATTCCTTTAAGTTTATTTAAAATTGTTCTTCTTGATATGTTGTACTTTTTCTCTCATTCTCGTTGTGAAATTTCTCCTGCTTTTATTGCATTTAAACACTCCTTCAATGTCTCTGCAGTGTAGTCTGCATGTCTTCTTGATCCAGGCCTTCTAATGTAATTTCTGGGCATGTCTGAAACAAAACATAAGATTACTTTCTTATAATATATTAATTTGGGTCATGAATATTTTTATTTTAAAACATCAGAACCCATAAAAATTTACTCAAAAGCTGATAAATAATTAACAAAGAACATTCACACATATTTTGGGGTTACTTTACCTCGGAGAAAAGTAAACCCAAAAACGTGTTTCGGGGTTACTTTGCTCCAGTCTCATGGAGCAAAGTAACCCTAACAACGTGTTTTGGGTATACTTTGCGCCGGGGAAAACTAACCTCAAAATTGTTAAATTTTGCATATCAAAATATTATATCGGTTTGAACTAATGTGTAGGCTTTTAGAATATTTTTTTGGGGTAAACAGCAATAATAATACAATTCACTATCAACTTACCAATACTTACTGGTAAGATATGTATTAAACGAAATCTTGACTAAACACCAAATTTTTTGACTTAAAATTACAATGAATTTGAGAGTTTATCTTCTCTCCGCTGTTAAAAGAACTAGATTGCACATAACACAGCCGGTGTGACGTTACAATATAGGCTAATTGTCAACCTTGAATTAACTAGCGTTGGGTATTTTGCTCATATTTCTAGTAGGTAATTAAAATAAACTTTTTTTCGTAATAGGGCCAACTAACACCGGAGGGCGCAAATTAACCCCGGTTTACGGTACCAATAGTTCTATGGTCTTTGTTCGTCTATCTATGTGGCCGAAGTAAATTAGGTATGCTCCGTTTACTTTTTTTAATAGCCTGTCTTTTATATTAAGCTCTGTGTTCTATCCAGGACACACCTAGAAAGCTTCTGTAGACCCTCTCTCGAGGGTCGATATTACTCCTATTGATTTTTTGAGAGTCCAGATGATAACCAGAAATGAATTGATCGAGAGTAGTAAATCGATGTGAAGAACAGGTCTTTCGTTTTACTATAGCGCAAAAAGTAATACAATGCCAGTATACAAGAATCGCTTCAAAAAAACTTCAAAACGTTTTTTTTTTCAGAGCTCATAATGCCTCGGTGGCTAGCAACACTGAACCTTGTCTGTCCTTAAGGGTTGATCTGAAACCTTTCGAAGAAAGCTCCGACGACTGGGAGATTAAACAAAATGTGCCTATTATTACGCAAATCAGAACTGTTACAAGTCAAGAAGCCAAACCTGCGCCTAGACTTCATGGCATCTTTAATCAGGTAAGTCTGAATTGTACGTTGACTTTGTAAAATATAAGAGAAAATTACATTTATCTTACTTCTTTCACTTCTTTACAGAAGAAAAAATCTTTCATTTCACACATTCAAATCAAAGGAAGCATCTCTTGTGGCCATACAATTTCTAAACCCAAATTGTGTGTCACTAGTTTCATATTCATAACATCTTCATCAATGAATTTTAATAATTCGATGGACACATCATATGAAGGGTTCAGGGAAAAAAGGAGGTATATCAGAAATAACACATTCTGAAATAAGGCGATTTTAATACTTCAAAACGGCATAAATATTATAATCTTGTCATTTACATTGATCAAGGTATTGCCAGAGGTTTCAGTTGAATTTCAAAAACGTAAATTATTCTACTTTCTTTATTTTGCAAAAAACATTTAGAAATTTTACACATTAATTCAAAATATTAAAGTAAAAAAGGAGATATGTCAAGAATAGTAGTAACAACAAACAACGATTATAATGGGTCTCTAAATTATTGATGCGAAAGTTCATCAAAGTAAGGTTGGGCATCTGAACCACAAATTTTTTTAAGATGGTGCAAGTCTGCATATTTCGCTTGACTGATCGGCAGAAGTGCTAAAAAATAAAAAGTAAGCTTTATAAAACTAATTGATTGAGGGGTTTTACCTGTATAAGCATATGGAGGTAGCTCAAATTCCATTTCTGGCAATTTGGGGTAGTCTCTGCTGTGCTATTACTGTGGTCTCCCAAGTTCCATTGAATGTTGTTCTGTAGTGCAAAAGACGAGGATGATCGCCAACAGCCCTAACTTCGCGGATGGTTCGAGTTAGAAAAGGGCATTTATTTGTCTAATACTTGCTTAAATATTCAGTACACTTTCGAAAATACTCTTGAGGACATTCTTCAATATGAAACGGTGCTGGTTTTCGTCTAACAGTTTTATACACTTATGTAGTGGCTTTTGCAAATGTTTGGCTTTTGATTTTTGATTGACAAGTCCAAAATATTTGTCACACTCCAGGTAGAAATGTCCCCTACAGGAACAGGAAAATTTATTTGTTTAGAGTCCAGCCTCTTTTTATGATGAACTATGTTATGAACTGTAACGACTATTTTGCTTACTTCAGGGTAAGGACATGGGGGAGAAGATTGGGCAAACAAAATAATCGAAACAAGTGCGTACGGCACTCAGTTGGTTGTTGGAGAGCTGGGTCGTGGATAAGTTGAAGATATGGGGGTTGGATTGGGGCAACTACAAAAAAAAGGAAATAAAAGGGTACGTATTCAAATCTCTTGGGACAAACAAAATGAAAATAAACCGGAAACACCTCAAGAAATTTAATATAGGGCGCGACTTGAGGTGCCTAATTATACCTATTGCAACTACTAGTTGTAACTAGGGAAATAATTATAGAACATCAGAAACATATGTTTTTCAAATAAAACTCAAAATGGATCAGAGAAACAAATTAAACGTTTATTTTTGTCTCAAACAAACAGTTATCAAAAATACAGATTATAAAAGAAACATATCATATAACATAATACAAAATAACAAAAACTTACATGTTCTTTGTTTACATAAAAGATTGCTACAAAAATTTTAAATGGTTTCTAGATATATTATGGCCAATTTAGATTATTAAAATTTTATGGATATCCTTTTTATAAAAATCCTCTACGACAAAAATAATATAAAACTTTAATTATTACAAATCCTTTTATTTTAATGAAAGCAATTATTAAAAATGTCTTTATATCTTGGAAAAAAATTAATATATTAAAAGTTACCTTATTTCTCACATGTTTCACTTAACTTTGAAAAAGAAAAACTTGCTACATCTCTGGGAAGCTACTTAAACAGATTTTCAAAATGAAAAACAGGAAACTAGTTCCGTACTCCGGCAGGAATGATCTAAACAGGAACTTGGTGGAGGAATCAAGCTGACTTATGGGGACATTCTATACCATACTTCTCAAAAATTGACAGTTTCCATTCAAATTCAAATCCAATGACCACTCTGACAAAGCTGCTTATGCAAAGCAAAGAGTATCATCACTTTAACTGGTCTTAAGACATTACTAACAAATTGAATCGACTCTTCGATTCACAATTGTCCCAACATTATATATCCGCAAAAGCGTCTACCACCGTTTCAAATCTGTTCTTCCACTTACATTATAACACGTCTGACCCGCGTGGAACTTAAATCTCGACTCCTTATCCGCGTTACATTTTACCTATTCAAAGCCAAATCATTTCCCTTCCGTCTTACAGCTAGCCTGTCGTCCACAAACTTAAAACAAACAATCTTCCCCTTGTTATTCGTTCCTAACGATGAAAGACAAATAAAACCTCTTTTTTATCATAAATTATAATCCCTTTATATACAAAAACAACTTGTCGAAATAGATATAACATAATACAAATTAACAAAATAGCACGTATTTTAAACCGGAGTTCTACCTGACTTTGTAACAAAAGGTTCGATATTTGAATCTAAACACAGACAAAAACATCTATATTTACTTTTGAATCGGTAGAAATGTACGCATTATTGATTATTCTAACCGGAATATTAGGGGGACTTCATGTAACATAATACCCCTTGGCAACAAAAAACTTGTTTTACCTAACATTGCAACACAGAGATAAAAACATATTTCCAGCGTTATTTACGCATTAAGGATTTTCATAAAAGACAAACACAGATTTTATGGAAATCTTTATGCGTACTGACGAGATAAACGAACAGGGACGTATTATAAAATTTAAAACGCTACAGAATAAACAAAAAAACAGTGTAGTTTTTATTATGTCCTCACGAGTCGCAGAAGATATTCAAGTTTCGTACTTTTCGATCAAGATAGTTGTAGATATAGTGATGAAGCAATGAACAAACATCATCGCTACCTTTTTTGGCAACAGTCTCAGGACAAGACAAGACCTGTATATTGAACGAGTATAAACTCAATTGTCTCTTATAGTAAACATCATTCTTTTTTGAATTTTGTAGAACTTCTAACTTTTTTTCCCAATTCCATGGAATGCCAAAAAGGTCTTCTGACATACTGGAACTTCTTGTGTTTCGTCGTTTACATTATAACGAATTCTATAACTAAAGGCGGTATCATGAGGACGTGCAGAGTCATCTGATACTCGTGGTCTTCCTTGCTGTACATTTTGTATTTTGCATTTTGTACAGTATAAGTAGGTATATATTTTCTACATCTGTCAACTCCATGAGGTTGAACTTTTTAATAATTTGAATTATTGCTTTTTCCGCTATTTGTAGAAAACACTTAAACCTAACGCACTTACAATCCGATCCTATTACATGACTTTGTCTATTTAATTTTTTATTTACGTCATGAATTCGTCCATATTTTCTACGTTTCTTTGCATTATTTTCCCGTGTGTCCACAACATCACATCTCATAAATTCGTTACTCTCACTAAACATATTTACAACTTGATAACTCTCCTTTCAGGTTCAGTAAACAACCATACATAACCTCTAAACACCTCTGAACCACGTACAAACTAAATGTATTATCCACTTCGTCGGCGTCGGTCACATTGACATCCCTCCTTTTTCCCTGTAGCGCTGGGACATGCCTCCTTTTTTACTCTGTATAACAAATATAAAAATATGTATTACATCCTGACTAACCTCTTTCATCAATGTGAATTTTTTAGATGAAATATTATCCATTTTCGCCCGTTATTTGACACACCTCCTTTTTTCCCTGTACCATTTATATGGTCCAGTAGCTTTGATGGCTTTGATGTGTTTGTGATGTCATAAATGACTTCTCGTAACATTGATTTAGTCAGCGCAAGTATTTGGTCTGTTCAGCTGCGATAAAAAAAATTGAGTGCTAGCTCTTTAAATAAAAGAAGTTATACAAGGTATTTTCTAGGTGGGAAAAACTCTTAATATGGTTCAGAGAGCATTCAATTTCGGAGAAGATGGCAATACTACCTTACAGCCTCCCCGACCTCCGTTATCCGATGCAGAATTTCGGAGATTTTTAGATCCAGTAGGACAGATAATGTATGCCAAAGAACTGAGATCTGTCATCTATTTTGGAGGAATTGAACCTAGTTTAAGGTATGCATATTTATTTCTGTTCAATTTTATTCTTATATATATATATATATATATATATATATATATATATATATATATATATATATATATATATATATATAGAGTGTGTGTAACGACGCTAAGAATACAATTCTTTGGAGGGTAACTTTCGGGAAAGCGTCAAAACAAGGATCAGCTAGAGATGGTATAAGCCAGCTTGGTGTAGAACTTTATTCTATATGTGAAATTTTCGGTGATATGTTGTCACCTTCATCAGCACCTAAATGGAAAACCTATTATAGTACAGTGGTGGAAATCAACATTTAAAAACCTACATTGAAAATGTTCAGTTGGTCCTAGTTGTAAAAAAACACTGTCACAAACATGTTAAAAATATTAAAAAATACATTTAAAATTTTGAATAAAAACATTACAAACAACAGGGTAGTTTTTCAAATACAAACACAACAAAAAATCTAAAAATTTACAACCTACAAAAACCACAAATAGAAAAGAAGAATTAATCTTCTTTTTTGATGATATATTTCTGTCAACATCCGGGTGTCATATGTAACTAGGTTATAATTTTCACTTTTGCACATCACAACCACATGGATACGAAAAGAAAGAGCCCTAGGCAACATAATAAGCAAGGAAATGAAGTCCCCTCTAAAGCACAGGTAGGTAATCTATGCATGTCATGATAAGTTCCCCACATTTTCTAGTTTGTTACTTCTTGTCAAGTCCTGTTGAAGTAGAAAGGAATAAATACAACTTAAGTTTTCAACATCTTTCTTACAATTCATAGGAGAGCTGCAGTTATGGATGTAGCACATTTCTATGAAGTTTCTCTTAAATTGGTTGTCAACCCTCTTTAGTACTTGCACATTTTCATAGTTAGCAGTGTGTCCAGTATTCTTAATATGTTGGCTAAAGGCTGTGCTGGTGGGCTTCCTCACAACATCACTCCTGTGCAAAGCTATTCTTTTTGAGAGTTTCTGGCTGGTTTGACCGACATACACTTCTGAACAAGAACCACATGGAATAGAATACACTACATTGAAGTTATCCAGTTTTTTAACTCTTTCTGTCAGGTGAGTAAAGTATGTCCCTAATCTTTTGTAAACAGAGTTTGCTATCACTATGTTGAACTGTCTGAAAAGGTTTGTGATCTGTGGTGATAAACCTTTGATGTAAGGCAATCTCCCATAGATTTTGATGTGGTTGGTAATGATATTCGTGATTTTTGAATGTTGCAAATTCTGTGAATCTGTGAATTCTGTTCAAAAATCACGAATATCATTACCAACCACATCAAAACCAACCGTTATTACATCAGTCCATCCATGGCCATTGAAACAAAAACGAGAAAATTTCTGAAAGACAACCCTGATATTATAGTAACAAGAGCAGACAAAGGTAACACTACAGTCATAATGGACAGAAACGAGTACATCACCAAATCATTTGAACTTCTCAATGACCCACATTCCTATAAAAAAATCCCCAAAGATCTGACTCCATCAGTAGAAAGAAACACTAACTTACTAATAAAACAACTACATGAAGAAGGACATATTACCACCAAAACAAAAAAAGAATTAACCAACTACACCGGTACCACCCCAACATACTATGGACTTCCAAAAATTCACAAAGAAGGGTGCCCTCTACGTCCTATAATTGCTTGCAAGAATGCCCCCACTCAATCCTTGGCTAAATATCTGGCAGGTATTATTGACACTTCTTTTTCTTCTCATAATACCTACAAAATTAAAGATTCTTTTGAATTTGCAAATAAGATCAATGGGTTTTTACTACCTTCAGGATATGTCTTGGTGAGTTTTGATGTTACTTCCTTGTTTACCAACATCCCTCTTGAACTGGTAGTTTCTATTCTGACAACTAATTACCATCTTATTGAACAGAACTGTACAATTCCCAAAGTTTTGTTCCTGAAACTGATTACCTTTTTATACAACAATACATATTTCACTTTTCAAAATGAATTCTATGTCCAAATAAAAGGAGCACCCATGGGTGGAGCTATATCCCCTACTTTGGCAGAAATTGTAATGAACTCCCTACTTCACTACTGTACTCAAGAAGTTGATTTCCAGTTCCCCTTCATTTACCAATATGTAGACGACCTCATATGTGCAGTCCCTGCGGACAAAATCAACTACACTCTTGACATTTTCAACTCATATAACACTCACCTACAATTCACAGTTGAAACAGAAGAAAATAATAGTGTTCCATTCTTAGACACCTATGTAACCAGACATGAGGACAATACAGTAAGGTTAGATTGGTACAGAAAAAAAACATTCTCAGGTAGATATGTGCCTTTTCACTCGTATCATCCAGACGAACAGAAGATTAACATCATCAAAGGTCTGAAAAACAGAATAAAAAGAATTTGTCACCCTTCAAACTACAATAAGAACATCAAGTTATTGTATGAGATTCTTAGAAAAAATCACTACCCTAAGATGCTTCTTAATAAATTGCTATTTCAAGATATGCCAACAGTTAGAACACAGCAAAGACAAACATTAGAAGGAGAAACAGTAGAAGTGTTCTATGGGAGATTGCCTTACATCAAAGGTTTATCACCACAGATCACAAACCTTTTCAGACAGTTCAACATAGTGATAGCAAACTCTGTTTACAAAAGATTAGGGACATACTTTACTCACCTGACAGAAAGAGTAAAAAACTGGATAACTTCAATGTAGTGTATTCTATTCCATGTGGTTCTTGTTCAGAAGTGTATGTCGGTCAAACCAGCCAGAAACTCTCAAAAAGAATAGCTTTGCACAGGAGTGATGTTGTGAGGAAGCCCACCAGCACAGCCTTTAGCCAACATATTAAGAATACTGGACACACTGCTAACTATGAAAATGTGCAAGTACTAAAGAGGGTTGACAACCAATTTAAGAGAAACTTCATAGAAATGTGCTACATCCATAACTGCAGCTCTCCTATGAATTGTAAGAAAGATGTTGAAAACTTAAGTTGTATTTATTCCTTTCTACTTCAACAGGACTTGACAAGAAGTAACAAACTAGAAATGTGGGGAACTTATCATGACATGCATAGATTACCTACCTGTGCTTTAGAGGGGACTTCATTTCCTTGCTTATTATGTTGCCTAGGGCTCTTTCTTTTCGTATCCATGTGGTTGTGATGTGCAAAAGTGAAAATTATAACCTAGTTACATATGACACCCGGATGTTGACAGAAATATATCATCAAAAAAGAAGATTAATTCTTCTTTTCTATTTGTGGTTTTTGTAGGTTGTAAATTTTTAGATTTTTTGTTGTGTTTGTATTTGAAAAACTACCCTGTTGTTTGTAATGTTTTTATTCAAAATTTTAAATGTATTTTTTAATATTTTTAACATGTTTGTGACAGTGTTTTTTACAACTAGGACCAACTGAACATTTTCAATGTAGGTTTTTAAATGTTGATTTCCACCACTGTACTATAATAGGTTTTCCATTTAGGTGCTGATGAAGGTGACAACATATCACCGAAAATTTCACATATAGAATAAAGTTCTACACCAAGCTGGCTTATACCATCTCTAGCTGATCCTTGTTTTGACGCTTTCCCGAAAGTTACCCTCCAAAGAATTGTATTCTTAGCGTCGTTACACACTATATATATATATATATATATATATATATATATATATATATATATATATATATATATATATATATATGATGTGTCGCTTCTAGAAAAGTAGTATGGAAACATTTGCTGAACGTGTATCCCAGCGGCATGACTGGTAAAGAACGAATGGACTATATCAAGAAGAAAGCGTCGGAATACGTAAATTTAAAAGAAACCTGGAAGACTGCAATTGCTCAAGGTCAAGTGTTGGGAGAACTGGCCTATACGACTGGAATGGTCAGAAAGGATGTACTAAGAACTGACAGACATCATCCTTTCTATGCTGGTAGCGACGATAATCAAAACATCGCTTCTTTATTCAATATTCTTACTACGTAAGTATTTTATTTTTTTATCTGTTTTTATTGAATTAATCCATTTATGTGCAAATATAACCAAATTATAATAGAAAGTGTAACGATCCAAAGAACCTACAATTTTTAATTTCATATAATTCAGAACGCAGTAATTTCTATGCTATCGCCGTATAACTTATTTCGTCTTAAAAGAGTGTCTGGTTGACTCATTAAACTTATTATCCGGTGGTCTTGGCATTCTTTTGCATTTGGTTTTTTTGGTAGTGTTATGAATGTTGACATCAGCCAATCTCTGGGAATGATTCCTGTACTGTATATTGTATTGAATAAGTCGACCAATATTTCAATTTGCTGTTCTTCTATTAACCGTATTATGTCTACAGGTATTTCGTGAGGACTTGCCTTGTTATTCTTTGTTCGCTTTATCGCCTCTAATACCTCATCTTCTGTTATGTCTGGGCCGTTGTCGAACTTTTCCTGCTTTAGTACTATCTCAGTCCGTTCGTCTTTAAATAGCTCTTGAATATATTCCTGCCATCTTTTAAGCCATTCACCGATGTCTATAATTATTTTGCCGTTTTTATCCAGCAGTATGTTTGATTTTTTCTTAATATGAGTGCCTGTTATTTCCCTATTTTTTTTATGAAGGTTTAAGTTATCATGTTTCTCCACCAACTGTTCAATCTCTTCGCATCTGTCACTATACCATCTTTCCTTTGCATCTCTGATCTTTCTCCTTATTTCTGTGTGTATAATATTATACATGTTTTTGTCTTTGGTTTTATAGGATCTTCTTGCTTCCATGAGATCCAGAATCTCATTGGTCATTCATTCATTGTTGATCAGCTTAGGTGTTAATGTTGTCTCACATGTGCGTATAAGAGCATCTTTTAATATATGCCATTTCCTGTTCGCATCTTCAGTAGGAATAATTTCTATTTTGGTGAGCTCTCCTTTAATTTTTAGTGTGACTTGCTCTTTTGTTAATGGATCTTTCAAACGGGATACTTGTATCCTCTCTACTTTAGTTTTAGTCACAAGCTTTTTTAGATTAATTCTAAACCTTCCTACAACTGGGTTGTGATCAGATTTCACATCAGCTCCGGGGTATGATTTTACTGATTTTATGGAATTTCGGTATCGTTTGCAGATGAGAAGTTAGTCAATTTGGTTTCTGATGACGTTATGTTGGTTGTCTGCTGGAGATTTCCATGTATAGAGTCTCCTGGGTGGCAGATCATAAAAAATATTCGCGACAATAAAATCGGGGTCTTGGCAGAATTGAGCCAATCTGTCTCCTCTCTCGTTACGGGTGCCCAGTCATCTCCCATGACTATTGTAACGTCTCTAGACTTGGTTACTTCTAAAGCTTGTTGTAATTCATTATAAAACTGTTCGAGCTCTTCATCCGACTTTTCTGCAGTGGGAGCGTATACTTGAATTATATTGACTCTAGATTGAGCTGTTTTTAGGGTTACCATCATAACTCTATTCGAGATGGGTAAGAAGCCAGTTACAAATTTTTGGGTAGTTTTGTCAACTAATATCGCTACTCCGTTCCAGTGATTTGCGTCGTTGTCATTATTAGAGTAGTATATCTTTGTTTGGTCTACTAATATGTCACCTGAATTGGGCTATCTGGTTTCACTTAGTCCTAATATTTTTATGTCAAATCTTTCCATTTCCTGAATTACATTATGGACTTTACCTGCTTGGTATATTGACTTAACATTCCACGTGCCTATCTTCATACACTTTCTGTCGATTTTAGTCTTCTTTTTGGACGATGGATTTTTAATAGGTATTTCACAGGGATTTCGTTTGATATCGACCTGAGAGACCCTGTGGTCTATGTGTCATTTGCCTCCCCTATCGGATCTTGGCTCCCGATATCCATGATCAGTAACAGAGTTACTTTTTTGTACAGCCATGACAATTGTACTAGGGATATCTGTGTAGAATCTTTAATGTAGTGGTTTCCCCTTGCCTTCTACATTATTATGCCGTTGACAGTTTTTTTTTTTGTTCATCCGCCTTCGAGGCCGATTTCTCAACCCCAGGACAAAAGAGTGCCCTACCACTTACTAACTCACCCGCCCGGAGCCGTTAGTCGGTAAGTGGGAGATTGCTTATATCGGCAATCACTCGGTAAAATTCTCACCATATCTGGCTACCCTCACTTAGTTTAGCCTGCAGACCAATCATCGAGCAAAAAGACAAAAGAGGGAATGTAAAGGTAGTGGGGGCAAAAATATTGTTAGACAAGAAGTGCGATCTTTAGAGGCCACATTAAACAAGGAAAGAGAGTCTTTCTCTCCTTGTTTGATATCAAATTTAGTTGGGTTATGTATTTGTTTGTAACAAATGTCTCATGAAATCTTATTTATATTGAAGTTTTTTAACCATTGTGTCGCATTTTAGAATATTATCGTTAATAATTAATTAAAACTTTCTCGTCTAAGACACATTCTGAAAAATATTATATAGCTACTGTTAATAAGTGTCGGAAAATTTAAATTTGGCGCATTCGCATTTCCGGATATGTCCGCCATCAGAGGCCACTTTTTTGGTCTCCCTTTCATAAGGATCAGATTCCCTCTTGTGTCTTTTTGCTCGATGAGACAAATGCAGTTGTCCGAGGTGTGGCACGTGGAGCCATAAGTGAGAGTTATTTGTCTTATGAGGAGCAGTTATCAAGAACCATCTCCCGTCTATGGTCGTTCCGATAAAAGGTTTTGTTGATTGGTCGGATTTAATTATACGATTTAAGCTGTGGCATAAGAAATACGAGTCCTTTTTGTTTATAACTACAGACCATTTCACATGTTGTGCTTCCCTAAGATGTCTATCAGGTAAGCGTAATAATTTTTGTATAAACCATGTTCTACTGGTTTTAGCGTGAATGGTATTAACAACTTCTTTTTTCACTACTCAAGAAAATAATATAAAATAATAATCTTTCCTTTCACACATTGGACTGCTCTATCATACTATATCATCTTGTCTTCACGTATAATTGGTCTTATAATTTTATTGTTGTCTATATTGGAATGGAAATAAGTACTTAGTCCTAGCTGTTGTTCCTTCTGATGGACTTAAGGAGGACTTAGGGCAGACTTATTAATGGATTATCTTATCATTAACTTAACCATGAGTTATCTTTAACAAATTTGAGAATACGTAACTATAACATCTTTCATGTTCATTTTAATTATATGCTTCTTTGGTCGAAGGCCTATCTAGTTCGCGAAGGGAGAAGTATAAATGAAATAATATTTATTAAATTTGTGTTAATTTCCTAAAAAATATATTAACGATCCAGGCCAAGAAATTCAATAAGTAGACATTGTTGTGTACGTATAGAACTACCTTTACCTACATTTTTATGCAATTTTCGAAAAACTGACTATTTTTAAACAGCTGTATCTTCGAATCTACTAAATGGATGATGGAATGATAAAGAAGAATAGAGTCGATATAACATTTTACCATCTGATATCGGATTTTCAGATTGAGTCTTTTTTTTTTTAACCTATTCTCTATCCTTCCATTGTTGGATATAGGTCTCCCCCAGTTCTCTCCATCTTTCCCTATCTTGAGCTGTTCTCTGCCATGTGGAACCTCCTTGTTTCCTGATGTCATCTTTCCACCTCATCTGTGGTCTGCGTCTTGATCTCTTTGCATTGTATGGACGCCACTTTCCGATGGCATTGTTCCATCGTCCGTCTTGGAGATGCTCATTGTGTCCAGCCCATTTCCATTTCAGTTTTGCTGCTTGTTCTATCGCGTCTACTGTCTTTGTTCTGGTTCTGATCCACTGGTTACGTTTTCTATCTTCAAGTGATATACCCAACATTTGTCTCGCTCTTTGTGCCTTCCTTATCCTATCCAAATTGGCATGTGTAAATGTCCATGTCTGTGCTCCGTAGGTGAGCACCGGTATTATACAGGAGTTATATACCTTGCTTCGTAAGTATAGAGGGATTGTTTGATTTTTTAGAACGTAAGAAAGTTTGCCGAACGCTGCCCATCCCATTCTTACTCGTCTCGATATTTCGGCTGTTTGATTTTCTCTGTTAGCTCTGATTGCTTGTCCTAGATAGATATACTCATTTACCTGTTCTATTTTTTTTTATTTTTTTATTTTTCAAAAAGGCTGCTCTTGATTGCTCTATTCTTGAGCGAATTTCTGATTTTGGATTCAGTTCTTCCGTAATCCAGACTAAGTATTTCATTTTGTCCACTTGCTCAATATCTTCATTTTTTATTTGGATCCTTGTAATGACTTTACCCCTTTTACTGATAACCATGGTTTTTGTTTTCTTTATGTTTATTGTTAAACCAAACTGTTCCCCAGTATCACAAATGGTGTTTGGTAACGTCTACAGGTCCGTCTCACTTTCAGCGATAATGACTGTATCGTCAGCATAACGGATGTTATTTATATTTTCACCATTTATCTTAATCCCTTCTATACAGTTTTTAAGTGCTTGCGTAAATGACTCTTCGAAATATATACATTAAATAGTAATAGTGAAAGTACACAGCCCTGTCTCACTCCTCTACTTATCTGTTACGCATCCGTGCTATTTCCATCTATTCACAGCCTGTTGGTTCCAATAGAGATTTCTCACTATATTAATGTCATTTTTATCGAGTCCTTTTCTCTTTAGACATTCCATAAAAATGTTATGTTTAACTTTGCCGAAAGCTTTGTCATTGTCTATAATGACAACGAAAAGATCGTTTTGTTGGTCTTGACATTTTTGGGCAAGAGTTGTGAAACTATTCAGAGCTTTCACTGTTCCGAAGCCATTACGAAAAGCAAATTGTCTATTACTCATATCCGCTTCGCACTTTCTGAATATTCTTGCATGTATAATCTTTAAAAATGTTTCCAATTAATAAAAATGTGACATTAATGACAAAATAACGATTTATCTATGTTTTAGCTACGCTCTCAATCACCCCAAAGTAAGCTATTGTCAAGGAATGAGTGATTTGGCATCCCCGTTATTGGTCACTATGAACGACGAAGCTCACGCCTATATTTGCTTCTGCGCACTGATGCAGCGGTTGTGCACCAACTTTATGATAGATGGCATTGCCATGACTCAGAAATTCACACACTTAGCCGAAGGAATTTTGTATTATGATCCGGAGTTTTATAATTATTTGAAGATACATCAGGTAAGAAAAGTGATAACACTGAAAACATGAAAGCAATGTCTTAAACAATGTCACTTTTTAGGCTGACGATCTTCTTTTCTGCTACCGTTGGTTGCTTCTCGAAATGAAGCGGGAGTTTGCCTTCGAAGATTCTCTGCGTATGCTCGAAGTCCTTTGGAGTTCTCTTCCGGCCGATCCGCCAGACAAGGAACTTAAATTATTCGACACAATGTTCCAACCGACCATATCAACACCTCCTATCAGTCCTTTAGTAAAAACACCAAGAGAAAACGCTTATACGAAAATCATAGCCTTAAGACGTCAAAGCAGTTCTATGTCACTTAGTAGTTATAATTCCAAGAAAAACCAGCAAGTTAAGAGACAGAACCACAGCCTCGACGAGTCAGTTAGTAAAACCAAAGCTATTTCAGTCGTTAAAACCAAATATCAAAGTTTGGACGACGCTGTTTTACAAAAACCTGGCGAAATCAGTCCGAAGTCTCCCAAAAACTGTGATTTTTCTCCCAAAAACTTGGATTTTTCGCCAAAAAATAGTGACATGTCCCCAAAAACTAGCGATATATCGAATTGCTCCCTGAGGTCCGAATTAAGGCCTCGCTCAATATCACCGTTGGAGCAAAAATCAGACTCCGTAGTACTAAATAATCGAATCAACGCTCATCAAATGCTTAGCAGAAAAAGTGCCAGTCTTTCTTCCAGTATGACGAATCTGATAAAAAATTCCAAAAGGACTGGTCATTTTAAGGATCTCAAGGAGAAGTTATTTTCCTCTCTAGATAGACTGGACGCGACACATTCCATTAAAGAGGAGGAAGAAAGTAGGCCGTATCAGGTGAGTCAAACATTTATCTTAATATATTTTCTGTGTTAAGTACAAGAGAGTTTTTAAAGTAAGATCCGTGGTGGCAATAATCTGTAGTTGTTTTATATCCTCTATACAGTTAAAGATCTATATATAATAAAAATTACTATCATAAAATGGTAATATTAAAATCTTCATTATAAACTAAAACCACAATTACAAATAACGAAGTGTTCATATACCATCAGGGAGAAGACACGAGATATTTAAGTAACTTCTTTAGCGTTGACTAATATATGGTAAATTTTTGACAAAAAGTACACAGAAGTTATAAAGTTAACATTTGTGTTGTTTAAAAAAAAACGAAAACATTCATATTCCTACTGACCTTATATAATGTTTATTACACCAATATTAACCTTTTCCTAACTTTTTATATCACAAGGAATTTACGGAGTTACGTTGTTGTCTTAGGTATTCGAAAGTACTTATTTAAAAAATCCTTTAGCCAAATTTTTATCTCGCTAGGTGGCCGACGGGGTCCCCAATCGCAAAAAATGTGTTTTTTCGAAAAAAAAAAAAAAATTCTGAGCGATCCTTTGGTTCAAAAATCTGAAAAAAATCATGAACATACATTTTAATGCCACAAACCCCCTGATTTTTATCTCATATCTTTTTAATTAAAATAAAGCTCAGGAAAAATATTTGAATTTTTCAAAAAAAATTTTAGATTATGTAGGCAATTTTTGGCAAACTACTAAACAATTAATTTTTTTGTATTTTTTTCCGTTTTTTTTTAATTGCGGGGTAAGATTTGCCGTGTTAACTCCGGAAAATCCTCAAAATTTGAAGAAACTCATTTTTTTTGTTTTCCTTGTTTTTAGCACATAACCTCAACTGTATGTTAATAAATAATGTTGTTTGATATATTTTTTTGCTATTTCTAATAGCGCGATCAGATTTGTCTTCGTGAGATCAGAACACTCTTTAAATATGGCAATTTTTTTTTATTATTTCCCAAGTTAGAACATAAGAACATAACCTATTCTTCTTCAATGTTCATTTGTGGGATAGGGTTGGGTAGTGCTTTATTACGAAAAGGAATGAACATATAGTACCTGTTTAGGATCATTTGATCCTCTTCAGGCTAAAGTTGAATGTGTTGAGATGGTACGTAAAGCAAAAACATTCCAAAAACCTGCTGGGGTAGTGGTGTTCTTCTTCTAGTGGAACATCTTGGAGACTGTTGAGATGGAGTCACTATTCGAATCAGAGACGAGAGGCTTATGAGGTGATCTTTCCAGAAATAATGTGTGTGTTTTTTTAGCTAGATGCGACAGAGTCGAGTCTCTAGTTGCTGTTGTTCTTGAGGCGTTTTCGCACCTACGCTCGACCCCAAAACCAATGTATTGCACTGTAATTTTGCAGTCGAGTGCGTCCGTTAATGGTCAGGCCCTCAGCTTTCGAGAGACAACTTTCGCATTTTTCCCAGTGTGGATGTGTGTGTGTGTGTGTGTGTGTGTGTGTGTGTGTGTGTGTGTGTGTTTAACCCAACAGTGATGGACGCTACCATTTCGATGTTACTTGGCTCCGTCCATCACATAGATATCCCCCGTCCGACCACAGGTCCCGTAGTAAGTAACGGGGGCTGTGGTCGGTCGGGGGTCCCGATGATGAGGATGCTTCGGTAGCAGACAGAGGACCCCTTTCACTGTTGGGTTAGTGTGAGTGTGATTTGTGTGAATATGTTAGAGTGTTGTATGTGTCCGAGTCTGAGTCGGCCAAGGCAAAAACCGTGTTCTCTAGTAACAATTGTTCCTGCAAGCCGTTTTTGCCATTGCGACCAACGTCAGAACTAGTGCATTACACTATAATTCTTGTTATTAATCGCTTTCGTTAACGGCCAGGCCACGTCGGACTTCGATAGACGGTTTCAGCAATTATCGGCTCAGGTAAGAAAACAGTTGCGGCTATTTTCTCAGAGACGGACAGGTATCATTTAGTAGTGAGATTTTGAAACCGCAAAAAAAAACAATCTCCCTCTGTCCGGAGTAAGGATGAAGGATTAAGTTAGAGGGGGATTCTTTAAGCTAATGGAGTAGCTTCAAGGATGTCAGCGTATTCCCCTGGAAGTTCGTCAATGCATGCCTGCATTAGGACAGACGGGATGTGAAGTTTTTTGTTTTTGGGCTTCCAGGAGTTAGGTTTGTCATTTTATCTGCGAAACATCCTTAAAATTCGAAAAAAACCCATTTTTTTTGGTATTTTCCCTATGTTTTGATATATTTTTTTTTTCGTTGCTCAGAACATGCTCAAAATACGAGAAACCGTCTTTTTTTTATATATTCTCATGTTTTTAGCATATAACATTAACTGCATATGGCTAAATAAGTTTTTCATTCAAAGATATTTCTTCATCTTTTTACTATAGAGTAAAAGTAATTCAACACCAGTATAGAACCTTTGCTTCAAAAATCTGACTATTCTCCTAGTTATACTTAATGTAATGTGTAATTAGTGTACAATGGTATTTTGCGCAATGCTTGTGACTGTGCCAATGGATTAAGAATTTTAGGATCGTGTACTCACATTGCCGCAATTATCTATTATCTTAGCAATACAAAGTCAAAAATTATTAGAGCATCAAAAATACTTTCAGACTTATTTCTCACATCAGATAGTGACCTCATAATAAAAAAAGATAGTGACGAAGACTAAAACTATTATTGTAATGCGATTTTGACCATTTTTTACTATTTTGTAATTTTATAAAATTTTATTATTATTAATAGAAATTGAAAAATGGTCTTATATAAAATTTAATATAATTATTTTATTAATTTAATCCATAAATGATAATATTTAAATGATAATCACCGCTTGAATGAAAGTGAAGGGGAAATAAAAACCGTTAATTTGTCACATTTAAATGTGGTTATGACACCTCTCTGTTGCTAACTGCATTTAGTTTTTTTATAAGATTAATCTGTATGGATCGATTTAGAAAAGATGTTTGGGGGATTCCAGTGCCCAATATTCACTCTTTACAAATTTAAAAGTCTTTGTTCTTGCGAAATAATAATGGTACATTTATTCCAACAATGATGATTTTTCAAGTTCTCGTAACTTTATAGTTTCATGAGAATTGTGTTTTTAGTCCTTTAGTTTTAGTTTTTAGTTTTTTCCACTTATCTGACCTCCGAATATTTTTCTTGCAAGTCTGGTTTGGTGGTGGAAATTCATTAGCAGGCAAATCATACCACTGGCTCCGTATTGCGCAAAGAAACAAAACTAACTCTTCTTAAAAACACTGCAATTTATAATAACGTAAAACGCAGCAGTTTACATTAAAGTATTACTTGGGTGCTATACCACTATCCATCCAAAATGATAACAAACTCAACTAACAGTCTGACACCGTGGAACAGGGATACAAGTGCACTTGTATCTCTTCTCTTCCAAGCCCTACTCATAGTTGGCTTAAAGGCTAAGTAATTTGCCGCTAGAAAGCAGCACCTATTAGACTTATCGCTTAGATCTCTTTACCTCCAAATAAAATGAAAGATTTTTAGTTCAGCGATGCAGTGTTTTTCAACATTTACAAAAATGTCACTTATACCCCTTTACTTCTGGGGTCCTCAAATGACCCTTATATGATATATTTAAAGTATTAAATTTCATTTTTAGGGGAACATATAGATCCCCGCTCGAGACCAGCCAACTCTTCCTGTCAGTTTCAATCGTTTGGACAACGTACACAACGGCGATCTGTATGCTCCCTTATAAATGAAATCCTTTAACATCGACGTAGTGTCAGAATATTATTAAAATTTAATACTCTAAATATGTAATTTAAGGCTCATTTGATCTCGTTACGTGGCTAGTTAGTATCCCTTTAAATTTTTAACTTATACTTAGACATATAAAACCTGATACAAATTCTTCATATTTAAAAAAATATGCTTCAATATACAGGGTGTTCCATTAAAAAAAAACAACTTTGGTTCATTTCGTTGTTCCGACTGAGCCTGTATAATCTAAACTAATGTTTAAATTATGGACGTCTTTAGTATACATCATTTTCGTCATAAACACTTTTTATATAGAAGGAAAGATAGTTAAGATTTGATTTCACGTACAATGCGTCTGTATATCCTTCTTCTTCTTCTCGTGCCACTCCTAGCGGAGATTGGAAATCATCATTGCCACTGCGACTTTGTTAGCAGCGCGCCTAAAAAGTTCAGTCGAACTACACCCGAACCATTCACGTAGATTACGAAGCCACGATTTTTTTCTTCTTCCCACACTTCTTTTGCCCTTAATTTTGCCCTGCATGATGTTTCTTAAAAGTTCGTACTTTTCACCTCTCTGTATATCCGCGTATCCGTATTTCATCCTAAAAGGAATCGACGGAGCGGCTATTTATATACTTCATAATTTAGCCGTAATAAAAAAAGTCAGAGGTTTGGCGCACTTGCCCTGTTTATTAGCGATTGTTTTTTATTTGAAGATATATCAAGATAATACAATTAAGAAACATATAAAAAAAATGAACTGAAAGTACATATGTTAGAAGAGCTTTTTCTTTATTAATTTTCTTTTCTTGTGTTTTAGGGCCGCCTGGTAAAAAATCTTAACGAATTCCTTAACTTAAGTAGCGTGAGTAAGCTCGAAACATCGGAAAAACCAAAAATAATGCTCACTAAATCCAGTCTGGACGATTCAGAGAGCTCAAGTATTTCCAGACATTATTCCTCGACTTCCAATAGTGGCGACGATACCAGCCCAGACGATTCACAAGAGTACTTCCCATTAACTACTTCAGTGACTAGAGAATTGCGTTTAGAGCTCGAAAATTTAGATAGAAAAGTGTTTGGTGACAAGTTTGTAGACAGATTGTCGGAATCCCCAGCCAGCGAAAACGATAGTACTGTAACTAAAGAAGTGGAATTGAAAGATAAAAGAAAGAGCGATGATGTTTTCGTGTGGGAAAATCCTTTACATCAAAAAACACCTAGCGTGAGTAAGCTGAATACCCACACGCCAGACGAGCAAGCCGACATAGATTTCGACGCTCCTGAAGCAGTTGACACTACACCAGAGGCTAAACCCGCACCTGAAGTTGCTACAGATGAGGTCGACTCGAAACCTCCAACCACGGAGCTACCTACTTCCAACGGAACCGTACCTGCCATGACCAATTCCTGCGAGGAGGTCACCGAAAGTGTTAAAACTTCTTCTCTTTTACCCTCTCCCAACGAATTCGGGGGTGGGAACCCGTTTTTGATGTTCTTGTGCATAACACTGCTGATGCAGCACCGAGATCATATCATGGGAAAAGCAATGGATTACAACGAGATGGCGATGCATTTCGATAAGATGGTGAGAAAACACAACGTCACGAGGGTTTTGAATCAGGCCCGACAGATGTACGCGAGGTATATGAAGCAGCACAGTATCGCTCAGCAGAGGGTAGAAAAGAACGAAGATTGTTAGGGCTAGGTTTTTGGTTGAAGAGTACTGTGATATTTTTTCTGTATTATTTATTTTTTAATGTACATACTTTATAGGGTATTTTTTTACTTAGTTTTTGTTTTTCGTCAATTTTACTCCTATAGGTTAGGGATAAAGTGCACCTAATAAAGTAATTATTTATCAAATGTCTCTGTTTTATTTCTATAAAGGAAATATATAAGTTTTGTACAAAAGCTACGTCGCCTAACCAAGAAGAATTAATAGATCAGACTGAACTGACATCAGAACTGACTTAACGACTATTAAAAAAATTCAAATCTATTTAAAAATTACTAAAAACATTGTTTTTTTTTCTAAAATGATTCATTTTGGAGCAAAGTCGTAATTTAATAAAATCATCATCATCATCCGTGGCATTACACCTCGTTATGAGCCAAAGCCTTCTTCAGAACAATCTTCCATTCGCCCCTGTCTCTGGCAATTCTTCTCCATGCTTTAACTCCGATGGATTTTAGATCATTCTCTATGTTATCTTGATACCTATGTTTTGGTCTTCCCACTGGTCCTCTTCGGTTTAAGATTTTTCTGATCGTTGCATCTTCACCTCACCTAATTACATGTCCAATCCATCGAAGGCGTGCTAATTTAACACATTTTATGTCAGGTTCCCAAAAACTTCTGTATAACCCAAAGTTGTAGCGCCTACGCCACAAACTCTGTTCTTGGACTCCTCCACATATTTTTCTCTCGAAACGTTTAAGCAATTTTTGGTCGTTCTGTGTAAGTGGCCACGTTTCTGACCCGTATGGTAACACTGGCCATATTAGTGTTTTATATATGGTAACTTTAATTTTTCTGGGTAGTTTTGGAGCCATCTGTTTCCTCAAGCCATAATAGCACTTATTGGCAAGCGTCATGATACTATGACTTCCAAGATAAAACCACTTCGCAATCGAATTTTGTACGTCGATGCGCATGACGTCACTGGTGATAAAAGTTTATCTTTAATTAAATATTCTGAAATATATTTTATCAAAAATGCTTACATTTATTTGTCAACGTACTAGATAAACGATAAAACAATACTAAATCTGACAAAACTCCATGCAAAACAGAACATATCTGGTGATATTTGTCGCCAAGGTTCGTTACACGTGCAAAAGAGATAGACTGATCGCGTGCGCGTGGGTTTATCTTTAGAAGATCATAGTATCGTGGACAAGCCCTATTCTTCTTTAAATTTTTTCGGTAGACGAAGGTGGGCACACCTTCCAGATCATCAATTAATAGTCTAGGTATCTGGTTGTCTGATCTAAAATATGGTGCCATTCGTGTTAATATGACACTCTCGAATTAATTTTTCTAGTGCAAGGTTAAAAAATGAGAGACACGACAGTCCATCTCCCTGTCTCAGTCAATTTTTACAATGGAAGGGTCTTGAAAAGTCGTTTTGGATTCTGACTACACTCTTTACGCCTGTGAGTGTAAGTTCCGTTAGTTGAACAAGATAAAGCGGCATTTTAAATTACACCATAGCCTGTAGATGTTTTTGTCTGTTGACTGAGTCGTATGCGGCTTTGAAATCCACGAATATGTGGTGGGTGTCGACTCCGAACTCGAGCGTTTTCTCAAGAATCTGCCTGACTGTGAAGATTTGATCCGTTGTTGATTTATTGGGTCGGAAACCGCACTGGTAGTTCCCAACTATTTGTTCAGCATACGTTAAGTAGGGTGATGTCTCTATAATTATCACACACCATAATATCTCCCTTTTTGTGAAAAGGGTGCATTACACCTAATTTCCAGTCTGCGGGCGTTTCCTTCCGTTGCCAGATTTCGGTTACTAATGTATACATATGTTTAAAAAGGGTGTCACCACCATTTTCAAAGAGATCGGCAGGAAGATTGTCCAAACCAGGGGCTTTGTTATTTTTCAGATTTGAAATGGCTTCTCTTATTTCTTCTTCGGTGAAGCGCGGCTCTTGAGCGTTTTCATTCATTTCAGACAAAGTAATTTCTATTTGGTCTTCTGCGTTGTCACTAATTATGGAACCATCTCTGTCTTTACATGTTGTTATTCTGGGTTTGAATTCTTTTGTGTTCTGTTTATCTTCTGATAGAATTTTCGCGAGTATTTTCTATTGTGGTGGTTAACAATGTCGTTTAGAGCGTTTTCGTATGGCTCTTTCTTTTTCTTTTTAAACGTCCTTTTTTCTTCTCGTCTTAGATTTTCATAGTCTTCCAGGTTTGATCTCGTTCTGTGCTGCTGAAGTCTCTTATATGATTCATTTTTCTGTTGGTTAATGGATATACATTCTTCGTCAAATCAATCTTCGTTTATTTTAGCCTGGTTACGTTTTAAAAAGCCTTTAGCCGCTGTATGGATAGCTTCCTAGCATTTGGTCCAGTGTTCTTCTATACTTAAATTTTCGTCGATTCTTGTCAGCTCTTCATTTAAAATTTTCCTCTAGTTATCCCTAGCGTCTTCAGATTTTAGCAGATAAGTATTATATTTCGTAGATTTTGTGCTCTGGCCCTTCTTGGCGTTTGATAGACGAGCCCTGAGTTTTGTTCTTACAAGGTAGTGGCCAGAGTCTATATTACCACATCTACATGCTCTTCCATCTAGTACGTCCGAGAAATGTCGACTATCAATTAGTACACGGTCAATTTGATTTTTTGTTTCACCGTCTGGTGATTGTCATGTGGCTTTGTGGAAATTTTTGTGAGGAAAACATGTACTTACTACCATCATTCCCAATAATGCTGCGAGTTCAATCATGGCAGCATAAAGACTATGCTCCCCAATGGTGGGTCGGTAAATAGTCTCTTGGCCGACTTTAGCGTTAAAATCACCAATAATAATTTTTATGTCGTAGTTTTGACATTGTCTTAAAGTACTTTTCCAGTTTCTCGTAAAATATGTTCTTCTCGTCTTCTTTATCTTCAGTGGGAGCATGGATATTGATAATGCTGTAATTAAAGAACCTGCCTTTAATTCGGATTCTACATATCCTTGGACTTATTGGATCGAAAGCTATTACTTCTGATTTCAATCGTTTATTCAGTGAATCCCACTCCAAAAATATGATTATTTTTATCTCCGCTGTAGTAGAGAGTGTAGTCTTTTTTTTCTATGATGATGATCCCGAACATAAGAGATTGAGTGGACTGTGGCCACAAGCGACTGGATTATTTCCTGACGCAGGTGCTCACAAAACACGGGTGTTTTAGGGCCTACCTCTATAGGATCGGAAAGGCTGACACAGATGAATGCCTATACTGTGAATACTCGGACACTGTGACACATACGATGTTAGATTGCAGCAGATGGATAGTGGAAAGGAAGAGAATGGAGAGAGAGATAGGTTTGGAGATTGGTTGTCGTAGAGTTGACCTTCTGTTATCCTTTTCTTACTAATTATCATAAGCTTTGTCTTCTTAACGAGTATATTGAATCCATATTGTTGACTGTAATACGTGATTTTGTTCATAAGAACTTGTAGGTCTTCTAAGTTGTCCGCAAATACTATGGTGTTATCTGAATATCTGATGTTGTTTAGCCGGTAACCATTTAGTAGAATTCCTTTTTCAGTTTCGTGTAAAGCTTCGATAAATATTCTTTCAGAGTAGAGATTGAAGATTAGAGGAGACAAAATACAGCCTTGCCTCACTCCACGCATGATTTTCACAAAGTCAGTGTGTTCACCTTTAACTCTGAGATTTGCTGTCTGATTCCAGTAAAGATATCTAATTATTTTCAGATCTTGGTTGTTAATTCCTGTTTCTTTTAGTATTTGCATCATCTTGGCGTACTGTACTCGATCAAATGCTTTCTCGTAATCAAACAGACATGCGTATACGTCGCAGTTGACGTCTCTGCATCTTTGGAATAAGACTTGTACTGAGAACAAAGCCTCTTTAGTACCAATAGCATTTGTGAACCCGAATTGATGGGGGAAATTTGACTTTCACGCAGCTTGTAGATTCTCTTATGAATTATCTTTATAATTAATTTTAGGAGATAATTCATGAGGCTTATAGTACGGTAATCTTTGCATTTTTTGGCTCCTTTTTTTTGGAACTGCAATAAACTCAGATTTCAGCCATTTTGTTGGTATTTCTCCAGAGTTGTATATTTTCTTGAATATCTTCGTGATTATTGCTATTGATTCGTTGTCCATTAGTTTGAGTAGATCTGCTTGTATATTATCAGGGCCTGCCGCTTTGCCATCCTTAACTGTGTTATTTCGAAATAAACTTCCTGCTGTAATATTCTTAGTCCATCATATACCTCTTCTTGTAGCTCAAAGGTGTTATCTCTTTGGTCTTCAAATAGTTTTTCTAGATATTCTTTCCACGTTCTTATTTTAGTCTGTGTGTCCAAGATGATGTTTCCGTCAGAATCAGTTATATTTCCTTTCTGCCTTCATCTTAGCCTCCCTGCGAGTTCTTTACCTTTCATATGTACATTGTTACTATTGTATTTTGACTGCAGAGTCTCAATTAGCATCTTTCCCTTGCTTCTTTTTTTACGCTTCTCTGATTTTCGTTCTTATTAATATATCTATGGTTTTATATTTGTCTGGGTCATTTTTGACTTCTTCTCTTGACCATTAGTTTCAGGATCTCGTCTGTCATCCATGATTTTTTCTTTATTAATATATCTGTCTTTAAGTGTTTATCCTTTACATTTTGCACTATTACTGTAATATGTTTGATCGTTTGTACTTCGTTCGATTCGTATATTTATAATTGCAGTCACTTGCTCGTTTAACGTGGCTTGTACTCTCATCCTCCATTGTATCAAGGTCTTTCAGCATACGTAGGTCGCATGATTGTGATTTCCTTTTCTGCACTGTTTGACTCGAAATACTCTCACCAGCGAAACGTGGCCTGTCTCCAAGTCTGCTCCAGGATGTCTTGACAGGTATGAAGTTGTTTATCGGAATCTTTTATTTACTAAAATGTAGTCTATTTGATCCCTAATAATTCTCCCGGGTCTGTCTTGAGGGGATTTCCACGTGTACAACTTGCGAGGTGGTAATTGGAAGAATGTGTTGGTGAGGACTAGTTCCAAGTCTTCTCAGAAGAGTCACAAAAGCACAAGTCCATGTGCTCCAATGATAAGCGGACAAAAACAGCAATTTCGAAAGCAGCTTTAGAATTTTTACAATGCGAAAC